TTTTAGCTTCATTTAATACGAACTCGCCCCTTGTAAGGGGGTCCGGATTCCGGAATCCAGGAATTCGGGAAAATTTTCTTTATGGAATCCGGAATCCGGGGTTTTGGAATCCGAAAGGCAGCTCAAGAAATCCGGAATTCTACTAACGATTGGAATCGAGAATCCAAGCTCTTCTGACAAATACTGGAATCTAGTTTCTGTAATCCGGAATCCACAGCGTGGAATCAAGAATGACCAAGACTAGCTGCCCACATGACAATATGGCGGTTGTTTCTGCTGACAAGTCAGATGATAGTATGGAATGGTCATAAAGCTCGTCAGACCCAGGCCTCTGTTTTATTCGACTGTGGAATTAAAGGCGCCAAATGTTCAAAAACATTCGTATCACTTTCATTTTGATCCATCTCACTGACAATAAAAACGTTGCATTAATTTATTCCGTCACAATTTGTTAATTAAAAAAGAAAGGAATTGTGCACGGTTAGGGAGCTCCCAACATAATGTCGTTTTTCATGCTCCTTTCATGACTAGTTTCCTCTAATAACAAGTTCTTAAGATTATTGCGGGTAATTTTTCCGCAAGTGGTTGCGCCGCGACAACCGGTGGGCCTATAAAACTGCTGAATTATTAATGGTGTTGCCAGTAAAAACCCACTTGGGTTCGAGTTGGGGGTCCCCTTCTTCTTTTGTTTTCTTTTGTTTTTTGTTCTGTTTATGTTTTGGTTAGAGGAAAACGAAATAAAACAGGGGACTCCAAGCTCAACCACGTGTGGACGTCTGACTGTCACCTTTGCATTTTTTTGTTTTTTTTGTTAGTTTATTTAAAAAGTGACTTTTATTTGCTGCAATATATTATCACGGCAGGAGATATTATTATAAAGCAACAAACAATCGTTTTGGCTTCTAACTCTTCTTTTTTATTATTAAGCTGGATCATTTTTACCTCAATGTTTCACTACAATTTACAGTTAGCAATACTTGCTCATGATCGACAAAACTAAAAATATGACTTTAAAAAACACTCTTGGTAATGGCGATAGCTAGACATCTCCTAGTAATGAGGCGTAATCAGCAAAACTTTGTCATTTCCAAGGCTGGTAGATATTTCTTTACGCTCTGTCAACCCACTCCAGCGCTACTTGTATGTATGGAAGTGTTGGCTTTTCGCCCTCAAAATTCTATCTAAAAACAACATCTCCCATTATTTACACCACTTTTACTAAGCGAGACAGCAAGTACCTTTTCGATTCATAATGGAGGCTTCCGAAAAAACATTGAACAGGTGCTCCATACAAATGAAAATACCTACATTACATACCTTATTTATATCGAAATTCACGTAGAAATTATGCAGTCCATGCTCTTATGTTTGTGAGCTCTTAAGCGTCAGTTTTGTTGTACACGCATAATATTTCACGATCCACAAGTTATCAAACTTTGTCGACTCCATATGACCCCAGCACCTGGGTCGATGAAATAATATTTTTCAATGGACCACGACACTACTGAACTGCAGTTATTTATAAGAAGATAACTGGGTATAGGTTTTAGCATTACCATTTATCATCAAAGAAAAAATGTCCGCGGAATATAAAGCTATTCAAACCAGAAATCCCGTCCAAAAGTTTGTATCTCGTTTCCTTCTTCCAAACAACATCCCGAATCCCGACCCGCGACAAGAATTATAGCATCCCGGAAAAAAAAAAAAGCTTTTCATTGGTTGGTTTCAGCTATTTGTCTCAAGCCTTGTTTATTTACACTGTCTGGATTTTGCATACAGTCGAGAAGTCAGTGAGAAACTCAATTACTGAGAAATCGACTGATATTATGGTAAGCAAAGTAACTAAACAGAAAGTTAATTAGTTTTTTAAAATTGAAACTAGGGAAAATTCAAAACCAGTCTTAATTTTCTTTGTTGACCGGTATGTAATCCTCTTTGCTAACAATATCGCAGGTCATGCCTTTAGCAGTGGAGTTTGCGACATTGTTTCGACAGCAAAAAATCTGTGCCCGTCTCAGTCGAATTTCAGTACGGTATATGGGCAATCATGATCACAAGCTGACAACAGACGCCGTGGAAAAAAGTTCAGGGTATTTTAAGGTAAGAGGGAGTACTAATTAAGGTAATAGCCTATAGCATAAAGGTTTTTTTTTGCCCTGGCCTTAACCCAGTCAACAGTGAGACTTTGTCAGTAACTTTTCCTGCGTAAAAAGCAAAAAGTAGTAAAATAATTCAATCATGGCATCTGAATAGCACTTTGATGTATTGCTTTATTCATACTTGAAACTAGGTTTATCGATCATCACTTACACTGGGAATAGTACGAACGACCTTTATGATGTACTATTTACCATAAAGTCTTATAATAAATTAAGTAACATTACGTAACTTGAACTTTGGGGTTAAATTTCCAGTTGGAAGAAAACGAAACTGTCAAAAAAATGAAGTGTAGAAGAGTAAATTGCGTGCCTGACGTAGCGCACCGATCTGGGCTGATTTTCCTTTTTCTTGGATGTTAAATTAACCTATCCTAGATCTAAATTCCACCAAAAAATTTCAAACGGTCATAAAATCGTGGACCGTAAAATGGAAATTCATTCTCTCGGTCCCTTGTCGATGATACAAAGGAACATATAATCCATGACGTACTCGATTTACTATCTAAATACCCGGGAGGGGGTGGGGGGAGGGTACCCCTTATAATTCCCTTTAAGTAGAGGCTCCACCAGAAAGCTGAGCGGTACCTTTTTCATTCTTCAGGTATATCAAAGGGTAGGGACTTTAATGATTAAGGTATATGAAAGGTAGGCAAATCTGTCATTTCGGTCAGGAGCCGATTACTTAATTAAAATGACCAAAAACTGCCACAGAAGGATTTTATGGCTCTGAAAAAGTCGAGAAAACGTCCTTGTTTTGTGATTTATTCATATTTGAATTAAAGACAGTGCATTTGTGCTGTTAAAAGAGATGGAAAATGTAAACTAGGGAAGTGAAAAGGGTATCACCAAGAGAGGATAAAGGGGACAGAGAAGGCATCCTCCGTACACACCCTATTCCATAGGTAATTCGTCTCGAGTTATTTTTAAGACCACAGATCCCAAGGGGGATTGGACAACAGCCAATCACATAGCGCGAATGTGTTCCGCGTGGATGACCCACGCTCAGAGCCACGCGTCCTTCACGAATTGAGGCAGAAAAAAAATGGCGGAAGACGCGGAGAGCGATATTGCTATTCGTTTTGTCGACGAAAACGAGAGATTTCTGCTAAAGCTGTGTCAGCGAAACGAAAATTAAAACAGAATCGCCCTTCCTCTCTTGCATAGAGCTAACAGTACAGCAGGGAAATCCTTAACACACTGAATATTCTCTCAGGATCATTTATAATTTACAGTTTGAAGAGAGCAATTTCTGGTTTGATATTTATTCTTTCATTAGTGTTTTATTATTCAACAAGTATAACACTTGGCGTCCTATAATAACAATTTAATAACTTCTAGAGCGCTATTTGCATTCACTGATCAACACCGCTTAACAACTTAAAAAACTGCAATAAAATTCAAATTTGTAAAACTAATTACATGTACATGAATATTACTTGCTACTTGCTTTATTGTACAAACGACCGGTTTCAATAGACCGGCGAAATTTCTCATTTTATTAAAGCACTGAGGTCACGATAACTTCGAGTTAAACTGATTTCACGGGTTGTCAAAGAGTCGAGCGATTCCCTTGTCCCAGGTGAGCGCCGACTCATTTCGCTTCAATGTTCAGAAATGCTCTCGATCTCTTTACGCTTTCATTTCCCTTCGCCCGACATGTTTTGCACGGCGTTTAGTCATGCGAAACCTCCAGGAAACATCCACGCAGCGCGCGAGGTAACTTTATCCCGATTCTAAAAATAACTCGAGACGAATTAGTTTGCAACAAAAGAAACTTACAATAAAGCAAGGATGTTACATTGTGCAAGGTACCTTTAAGACATTTTGCAGGACAGATTCTGTAATATAAGCTTCGGCCTGAACTTCAATTCCACGACTCGAGTTTGAGCCAAAACTGCCAAGGGATATTTTAAAACTGTCGAAGAACAAGTCATTCTACTTCAGAGCAAGGTTTGGAGCAATTTATAGTGCTTCTAAAACTAAAAAGTACCTTTTAAAGAATAGCACGATAGGCAATCGGCTTTTGTTTTAAGAATTAGTAAACGTTGAATTTACTTCTCCCGAAAATTCAAACTGGTGGCTCCTTCTCCCTGATAGTAATTTATTTTTGAAATTCCAAAACAATTTCACAGCTGAATTTTGAGTCACTTTTAGTTACGGACTTCTGCTCCAACGATTTTTCTGAAATTCCTCTGGCATATTTATTATATCAATGAAAGCCGATACCAGAAATTTCAGTAAAAAATATCAGCAAAATTTTTCACTAGACGCGATTTTCTTTGAACAGTAGGGTCCTTTTAAGAACTAATTTCTCAAGAAATATTTACCATCAATGAAATCGGAATATTTCGTATTATTGCCGAATGATATCTGTTTCTGTTTGCAAAGTTTCGCAGCCATCGCGTTAAAAACCAAAAAGTTATGACGGAAAATTTGTCATAGCAAAATGCTCTAGTATTAATTACGGAGCCACCTTAACTACTCGAATTCGATGAATCACATTTTGGCTTAAGAAACTCCGAGGAAACCTTAGAGTTTTCCTTCTAATCAACGTTTGGTGAGTAGATATTTTTTTTACTGTGACAATTTGTTTAACTTGCACCAAATGTAACAGGGAAAGACAGAGGAAAGTGAATATATATCATGAGGATCGACGCAGCTGAGCGTTTCGCGTTTTCATTTAGGTACGGCAATACCCAATTTCGCACAAAAACCCAGTCTACATTTTAGACGAAAAAGGTAGATCTATCACTCTTGGTAAGGTTACTGAAGCATTAAGGTTACACTGAAGCATTCAGGTCATAGGTCATGCACGTTTAACGTGCCTATGTTTTTCCTTAGGTACCATACAGGAATAGTTACAAGCTAGAAGACTGTGATAACCGAAGAAAATGGGTTGAACAGGTCACCAGAAAATCTTTATCAAATGTTAGTCAGTGGCTGGATCCACAGGATACCCATGGGAGTCATTCCACTGAACGTTTGGCGGGGAATATAGAAAACCTCATTGGATTAGCTAAAATTCCTTTGGGTGTTAGTGGTCCGCTTCTCATTAAGGGTGATCATGTAAATGAACATATTCTATGCCCTTTTGCAACTACAGAAGGTACACTTGTTGCATCTTCCACCAGAGGAGCTATAGCAATGACCAGGTAATTTTAACCGTATAAAGCGGAGCTCTCGCTCAGCAGAACAGCATGGGTAAGAAAAAAAAATTGGTTATCCACATGATTGCATCCAATAAATTTTGGTTCTGACAAAATCGTCCATTTGTATGTTCGCCCCTTCATGTTAGCGGATGTGAAATGTCTTACTTACTTGCTCAATAACATCAAGGCAAAATAATCGTGTTTGATTTGATATTGAATTTCCATGTTATGATCAATCCGGACAACTGTCAAAAGAAGATGCCCGCTGAACAGTGTCACATCACTGTATCGCTTGGGTCCACTCGAGTGAGTCGACGCTCTTAAAGAAATGATAAAACTGACAAGTGTTTGTAGGGCGGCCATTTCTTTCAGCTCAAATTTGCAAAAAATGAAAATGATTACAATTTTGATAAAAAGTGATCAAATGTGTATTAAATAAATTTGCTTTTCAGGGGGGCAGGAGTTTCCTCCCGAAAGTTGAAAGTTTACACCTAGTGCGACCTAGTGCAATGATCTACAATGTCGATTATTTTTGAATAATTATGTACCAGTTGAGTGTTGGTATGGGACACATACAGTTTGAGCATGTTATGGCAACCTTGAGTAAAACGGGTGTATAATTCCGTTATTCTAGGTGCGGAGGAGTCAGTGCAAGAGTGATTCAGCGACGAATCATGAGAACACCGCATTTTGTTACGGACTCCATCCAGCAGGCACAGACATTGTCATCCTGGTTAATTTCCCACTTTGAAGAACTTAAGTTAAGAGCCGGTGAAGTTAGCCAACACTGCAAACTTCAAGCGCTGGAACCTTGGTTTGTCGGTCCGTTTCTTCTTCCTTTTTTTTTGTTTGATACTAGACTGTACGGCTCGAAAAACTGAGAAAAGCTTTAACCTCAATGAATGTACAAGTTAAAGAAAGTAACAATGCTTGATAAACTCCTTAATTTGAGTGTTACCCCTTCTTCCCTCCCTTTTTCCTCTTATTTCTTTCTAGGTCGCAATCTGCTGATGGAATTCGTTTACGATTCTGCTGATGCCGCTGGACAAAATGGTGTAACTGTAACCACCTGGCACGCATGTCAGTGGGCTCTAAAACAGATCGCCAAGGAGCAACCGAATATCAACATCAGGGAGTTTTACATTGAATCTAAGTGTAGTGGCGATAAAGGTGCACTAGCAAAGAATTACATTAAAGGTCGTGGAATTGAAGTTCAGGCCGAAGCTTATATTACAGAATCTGTCCTGCAAAATGTCTTAAAGGTACCTTGCACAATGTAACATCCTTGCTTTATTGTAAGTTTCTTTTGTTGCAATCCTTGATCGAGGACAAGGTTGGTTGTTACGTAGTTTATGTATTTGATAAATATTCTTCAAAACTAGCATTCGAAATCCCTCGAATCCTTTTTTACCCGTTCTTGACATAAATATTAGTCAGCAATTCGGGTATTGGCTTCACAAAGTTTTCTAATCTTCCAACCTCATTTTCAAGCTCTGCACTGTTAAAACAGCTGAGCCGTGGTCTTAGTATGATGTCATATGTGACATTCTCCCAACTGGAACTTTGCAGTAAAACCGTTTCCTATATAATACGCTAAAAAACGTAATAGCACTTTAGTTTCCTATAATACGATTCACTGCAAAATTGGCTGACCATAAAAAAATTAGGACTTTCACAAGTACACTTTCTCATCAATGTTTTTAAACAAATTAAAATTTGGAACTTCATGTGCATTCAAAGATAGTGTGCCCTGATGAAGCAGTCTTTTAGATATAATTAGAACTGCTTCGACCATGTCTAAATGTAAGTCAGAACATTATCGCCATGTTTAGCTTCTGGCTTTGTGATCAGACCACTAATGTTAACATGCAATATAATATGCTTTTCTTTCATTTCCATGCCCTTCTTTGAAACTAGCTTTGTATGAAGAAACGTTGAACTGGCAGGGGTAGAGAAAATCGTATGCAAGTTTGTAGGCACAGATCAGTAAATTTGTTTGTGTTATGCAACATTTCAGCTATTTATTTTTTCCTTTGCATAAAAGGTAGATTCCTCTACCTCGAACAGGTGTTTCCACGCTCTCCAGATTGGTGCGCAGAGAGCTGGCTCGTACTGTGCTAATGTATGCGTCAGTAATACAATTGCTGGGATATTCGCTGCTACGGGACAGGATTTGGCGTGTGTTCATGAGAGTTCCTGGGCCATGCTTGAGATAACAACGGAAAGAGAAATAAAAGTTGCTGGTAAATAAAAAGTATTTGAATATGTTAGCCTAACTTCAAAGTTACTTCACCGTTTGTTATTGAAAAAAAATAGTAGGAAAACGGTGTGTAGATAAACGTTCTTGCGATGGACTCTATCCCTGGAAATGGAGCAAAGAACCTTGTTTTTTCCAACGATCATTTTATTACATTAATTTCGATGGTTAAAAATCCTCGTTTGCTGCCGGAAATGGTACAAATTCTGCCCTCAGAAGATCTGAGTAACCGTCTCCTTGTGCATTGTGTGAAATCGGCTGAGAAAAGTCGTTTGCTTGTAGCAGCGAAATACTCAAAGAGTTGAAATAAACGCTGCCTTTGAATAAACCGGTTGTCGGAAACCCTAAAAATAAAAAAAAAAGGGCTTTGCAAATAATCGAATTAGCTAAAAAGAACGGGATCCGGGAATTGAAAAAAGGTAAAATTAAGTCGGTATATCTAACGAGAGAATAACACTTAAACGTCTTCAAGGTGGCTCGAATCTCCTTCCCTCAATATTAAAACATAATTAGCATGCATGACAAGTTAATAGCCATTAATCCTCTTGTTCTCCTTTTTATTTTCTTTTTGCCTTTTAAAATAACAACGCTATTACAATAAGATGTAAATACAGAAGTTAACACATTCATCTTACGTTCTTTTTATGCTCAAGGAACTGAGTCTGGTGAGTTATACGAACCGGGGATTTACGCTAGCCTTGTTATTCCTACTCTTCTTATTGGAACCGTGGGAGGTGGAACAGGGACACCAACTGCAAAAGAATCTTTGAGAATGATGGGTTGTTTTGGAAAGGTAGGAATCTTGCCGTGCAAGTAACAAAAAAGCATTTGAAGGTTTGAAATCTCTGATGGGGAATTAAGAATTCGGCGACGAGCAGTCACCATGAGGACGCTTTTCCCCGCAAGAATTCATAAACTGTTTTCTTCACTTCACCTTCAGCACAAAACCTGTTGGCCACTTTAGTACCGGAAAAATCCCCACCGGGATAAATATCTTACTCATTCATGACACTTAACGTATTCCTGCTTACCTTTCCAAGTGGCTCTCTGAGGATAGTGGTCGAACTTTGCCCCCTCCACACCGCCGCGCGCCCCCAACCAAAACCACAACTATCCCTCGTTTGCTGCCGGAAATAGTACATTTTCTGCCCTCAGAAGATCTGAGTAACCGTCTCCTTATGCATTGTGTGAAATCGGTTTAAAAAAGACGTTTGCTTGTAGCAGCGAAATGCGCAAAGAGTTTTAAAAATGAAAAAAAATTGACTTGTGATGTCATTTGCCTTGGTGGAGTTAGAGAATATCTTATATATTTTTTTTGTTACTGCGTTGAGATTGCAAATTTGCCAACGCAAAGAGATTGAAAATCTGACGCCGCTAGAAAAATTCACATGTAGTACTTTGGTGCCAAAGGAAATTAAAAATCCAACAAACAAAGAAACAAAAAACTGACCGAAAATTTCCCTGATGTTCAAAGAAGTCCATTTCCTCCTCTATTTCAGGGTCGTATCTACCGATTTGCGGAAATAATAGCTTCATTCGCGCTGGCCATGGAGCTCTCCACTCTATCAGCAGTAGCCAGTGATCAATTTGCAAGTGCACACGAGCGATTTGGAAGGAACAGACCAGAGTCATGAAAACTGGTGAACGACCTGTTTGCTCGAATTTGTAATTCTGTAATCAGTAATGTTGTAAAGTTGCAAAGCTCATGAAAGCTGTAATTTCACCTTCACAAACTTTAACAACTTATTGGTTCAAGTGTCTAAGTTAACTGATGACAATACAAGACAAGACAATATTTTTTATTTGACAATATTTTTTATTTTGAAGCCTTCTCCATTCATTCGTCTCCGCTAAAAATGAGCACTGCTAATTATAACCCAGTGCGTGAATATAAGCATGTTTTCACATTTGAGCGTTGTAAATTTTTATCCTGCCAGCAGTATTTGTTATTTGTGATACTTCTTGAACATGCGCTGCATGTTGCTGGGAAACAACTTCGAACCCAGGCCTAAAAGCCGTGCACTTGGTACAGCGGGCTTAGTTCTTACCATTGGTTTTTCAATGAATGGATTCTCGCCCTTTAAAAACCAGTTTGAGGAGAGGGAACAAGATTGACTAGTCTAGAAGTTCGGGTTGCGGCGACCTCCTTCTCCTCTATAAAGAAAAAGACAAAACATGGTTCATACAGAATTTTGTGGGAAAAAATCAAGGACTTTTCAAGGACTAAAATAATTTTTTCAAGGACTTCTTTTCCTTATAATTTGACATAGAATAACACGAAGTATAAGACCTTTCAAATTCGTAGGTGGACGAGGGTTTCCTTGCAATACCTTCCCTCAGGAAGGCACGGTTCCTAGGGTACCTCAAATAGCGGAAATTGAACTATGCCCAGAATTAACATTGAAATCATAAAAACACTTTCATGACCACCAAGAAAAATTTGCGTACTCCGGTGCTTTCAATCTTTCCTTTGCGCAAAACAGTTTTTTAACAAAGGTTATCCAAAAATATTCAAGGACTTCTGTGCCAAATTCTGCTCGCACACCCTTATTCTGCTCGAGTTTTGCTCGGTATCCGAAAAAATTTTCGGCCCTTCGGGCTGTATTTATTATTTTCGCAAATATAGAAGGGAACCTGGTCCTAACCCCTCAAATTCTAATTTATCTTATTTTTAATGTGAGTGCGTTGTATCCATTAAATAATCAAATTAATCACGATGCATTTTCCATTTTCTTACAACCGTTATGCATATCATTAATGCCTCTGATTTTCCCGTATTCTGCTCAAATTCTGCTCGAAAATGCCTTATTCTTCCGGTAGAATACGCGCCTCAAAAATCGCCGCTTGTTCTGCTCGAAATTCTGCCGGCAGAATTTATCCAAGCATATCGCACGGAGTTAAATGATTGGCTTTTCATTTTAATATTTCCTTCTGTTTATTTAATGCAACAAGCGCCTTTTTGGAGGCCTTAAGATAAGGATAAAGGAGACTCGGACGCCAAAAATAGGAGCTCGAGAATTTTGCACAAGTTCATCTTAAAGCTTCAACGGGAGCCGAAAGAAATGCTGCAATTAGAGAACTAAAGCAAGTTACTAACTTGTTAAAGGTTTAATGTCCTATCATTCCAGAGTCGAAAGTTGTTTTCAATGAGGCCTACTAGTTTTGTATCTGTATCTTGCTAAGCTTTTATCATTAAATTTACGCGTGATCTTGTCATTCTTCAACACAATTCTGTGTCTTTGCCTATCCAGCAAGCGCAAGTGAAGTCGGTATTAGCCAGTTTAGATAAACTTTGAAAGTTCACAGCTCGCTGGCGGAAAAACGGACAGCAAAAAACGTGCAACTTTTTTTGCAACATTTTATGTATTTGATAAATATTCTTCAAAACTAGCATTCGAAATCCCTCGAATCCTTTTTTACCCGTTCTTGACATAAATATTAGTCAGCAATTCGGGTATTGGCTTCACAAAGTTTTCTAATCTTCCAACCTCATTTTCAAGCTCTGCACTGTTAAAACAGCTGAGCCGTGGTCTTAGTATGATGTCATATGTGACATTCTCCCAACTGGAACTTTGCAGTAAAACCGTTTCCTATATAATACGCTAAAAAACGTAATAGCACTTTAGTTTCCTATAATACGATTCACTGCAAAATTGGCTGACCATAAAAAAATTAGGACTTTCACAAGTACACTTTCTCATCAATGTTTTTAAACAAATTAAAATTTGGAACTTCATGTGCATTCAAAGATAGTGTGCCCTGATGAAGCAGTCTTTTAGATATAATTAGAACTGCTTCGACCATGTCTAAATGTAAGTCAGAACATTATCGCCATGTTTAGCTTCTGGCTTTGTGATCAGACCACTAATGTTAACATGCAATATAATATGCTTTTCTTTCATTTCCATGCCCTTCTTTGAAACTAGCTTTGTATGAAGAAACGTTGAACTGGCAGGGGTAGAGAAAATCGTATGCAAGTTTGTAGGCACAGATCAGTAAATTTGTTTGTGTTATGCAACATTTCAGCTATTTATTTTTTCCTTTGCATAAAAGGTAGATTCCTCTACCTCGAACAGGTGTTTCCACGCTCTCCAGATTGGTGCGCAGAGAGCTGGCTCGTACTGTGCTAATGTATGCGTCAGTAATACAATTGCTGGGATATTCGCTGCTACGGGACAGGATTTGGCGTGTGTTCATGAGAGTTCCTGGGCCATGCTTGAGATAACAACGGAAAGAGAAATAAAAGTTGCTGGTAAATAAAAAGTATTTGAATATGTTAGCCTAACTTCAAAGTTACTTCACCGTTTGTTATTGAAAAAAATAGTAGGAAAACGGTGTGTAGATAAACGTTCTTGCGATGGACTCTATCCCTGGAAATGGAGCAAAGAACCTTGTTTTTTCCAACGATCATTTTATTACATTAATTTCGATGGTTAAAAATCCTCGTTTGCTGCCGGAAATGGTACAAATTCTGCCCTCAGAAGATCTGAGTAACCGTCTCCTTGTGCATTGTGTGAAATCGGCTGAGAAAAGTCGTTTGCTTGTAGCAGCGAAATACTCAAAGAGTTGAAATAAACGCTGCCTTTGAATAAACCGGTTGTCGGAAACCCTAAAAATAAAAAAAAAAGGGCTTTGCAAATAATCGAATTAGCTAAAAAGAACGGGATCCGGGAATTGAAAAAAGGTAAAATTAAGTCGGTATATCTAACGAGAGAATAACACTTAAACGTCTTCAAGGTGGCTCGAATCTCCTTCCCTCAATATTAAAACATAATTAGCATGCATGACAAGTTAATAGCCATTAATCCTCTTGTTCTCCTTTTTATTTTCTTTTTGCCTTTTAAAATAACAACGCTATTACAATAAGATGTAAATACAGAAGTTAACACATTCATCTTACGTTCTTTTTATGCTCAAGGAACTGAGTCTGGTGAGTTATACGAACCGGGGATTTACGCTAGCCTTGTTATTCCTACTCTTCTTATTGGAACCGTGGGAGGTGGAACAGGGACACCAACTGCAAAAGAATCTTTGAGAATGATGGGTTGTTTTGGAAAGGTAGGAATCTTGCCGTGCAAGTAACAAAAAAGCATTTGAAGGTTTGAAATCTCTGATGGGGAATTAAGAATTCGGCGACGAGCAGTCACCATGAGGACGCTTTTCCCCGCAAGAATTCATAAACTGTTTTCTTCACTTCACCTTCAGCACAAAACCTGTTGGCCACTTTAGTACCGGAAAAATCCCCACCGGGATAAATATCTTACTCATTCATGACACTTAACGTATTCCTGCTTACCTTTCCAAGTGGCTCTCTGAGGATAGTGGTCGAACTTTGCCCCCTCCACACCGCCGCGCGCCCCCAACCAAAACCACAACTATCCCTCGTTTGCTGCCGGAAATAGTACATTTTCTGCCCTCAGAAGATCTGAGTAACCGTCTCCTTATGCATTGTGTGAAATCGGTTTAAAAAAGACGTTTGCTTGTAGCAGCGAAATGCGCAAAGAGTTTTAAAAATGAAAAAAAATTGACTTGTGATGTCATTTGCCTTGGTGGAGTTAGAGAATATCTTATATATTTTTTTTGTTACTGCGTTGAGATTGCAAATTTGCCAACGCAAAGAGATTGAAAATCTGACGCCGCTAGAAAAATTCACATGTAGTACTTTGGTGCCAAAGGAAATTAAAAATCCAACAAACAAAGAAACAAAAAACTGACCGAAAATTTCCCTGATGTTCAAAGAAGTCCATTTCCTCCTCTATTTCAGGGTCGTATCTACCGATTTGCGGAAATAATAGCTTCATTCGCGCTGGCCATGGAGCTCTCCACTCTATCAGCAGTAGCCAGTGATCAATTTGCAAGTGCACACGAGCGATTTGGAAGGAACAGACCAGAGTCATGAAAACTGGTGAACGACCTGTTTGCTCGAATTTGTAATTCTGTAATCAGTAATGTTGTAAAGTTGCAAAGCTCATGAAAGCTGTAATTTCACCTTCACAAACTTTAACAACTTATTGGTTCAAGTGTCTAAGTTAACTGATGACAATACAAGACAAGACAATATTTTTTATTTGACAATATTTTTTATTTTGAAGCCTTCTCCATTCATTCGTCTCCGCTAAAAATGAGCACTGCTAATTATAACCCAGTGCGTGAATATAAGCATGTTTTCACATTTGAGCGTTGTAAATTTTTATCCTGCCAGCAGTATTTGTTATTTGTGATACTTCTTGAACATGCGCTGCATGTTGCTGGGAAACAACTTCGAACCCAGGCCTAAAAGCCGTGCACTTGGTACAGCGGGCTTAGTTCTTACCATTGGTTTTTCAATGAATGGATTCTCGCCCTTTAAAAACCAGTTTGAGGAGAGGGAACAAGATTGACTAGTCTAGAAGTTCGGGTTGCGGCGACCTCCTTCTCCTCTATAAAGAAAAAGACAAAACATGGTTCATACAGAATTTTGTGGGAAAAAATCAAGGACTTTTCAAGGACTAAAATAATTTTTTCAAGGACTTCTTTTCCTTATAATTTGACATAGAATAACACGAAGTATAAGACCTTTCAAATTCGTAGGTGGACGAGGGTTTCCTTGCAATACCTTCCCTCAGGAAGGCACGGTTCCTAGGGTACCTCAAATAGCGGAAATTGAACTATGCCCAGAATTAACATTGAAATCATAAAAACACTTTCATGACCACCAAGAAAAATTTGCGTACTCCGGTGCTTTCAATCTTTCCTTTGCGCAAAACAGTTTTTTAACAAAGGTTATCCAAAAATATTCAAGGACTTCTGTGCCAAATTCTGCTCGCACACCCTTATTCTGCTCGAGTTTTGCTCGGTATCCGAAAAAATTTTCGGCCCTTCGGGCTGTATTTATTATTTTCGCAAATATAGAAGGGAGCCTGGTCCTAACCCCTCAAATTCTAATTTATCTTATTTTTAATGTGAGTGCGTTGTATCCATTAAATAATCAAATTAATCACGATGCATTTTCCATTTTCTTACAACCGTTATGCATATCATTAATGCCTCTGATTTTCCCGTATTCTGCTCAAATTCTGCTCGAAAATGCCTTATTCTTCCGGTAGAATACGCGCCTCAAAAATCGCCGCTTGTTCTGCTCGAAATTCTATCGGCAGAATTTATCCAAGCACGGAGTTAAATGATTGGCTTTTCATTTTAATATTTCCTTCTTTTTATTTAATGCAACACGCGCCTTTTTGGAGGCCTTAAGATAAGGATAAAGGAGACTCGGACGCCAAAAATAGGAGCCTCGAGAATTTTGCACAAGTTCATCTTAAAGCTTCAACGGGAGCCGAAAGAAATGCTGCAATTAGAGAACTAAAGCAAGTTACTAACTTGTTAAAGGTTTAATGTCCTATCATTCCAGAGTCGAAAGTTGTTTTCAATGAGGCCTACTAGTTTTGTATCTGTATCTTGCTAAGCTTTTATCATTAAATTTACGCGTGATCTTGTCATTCTTCAACACAATTCTGTGTCTTTGCCTATCCAGCAAGCGCAAGTGAAGTCGGTATTAGCCAGTTTAGATAAACTTTGAAAGTTCACAGCTCGCTGGCGGAAAAACGGACAGCAAAAAACGTGCAACTTTTTTTGCAACATTGCTGCAACTGACGAGTTGAATTGCGATGTTGCTCGTTCTACCACCTACGTTCAAACCTGTTAACAACCTGATTTGTTGCAAGACAGGTTTCATGTTGGTGGTAAAACGCGCAACATTGCTATACAACTCGTTTTGTAGCAATGTTGCATGACAAGTTAAATGTTTTTTTGTTGCCCAGTTTTTCGAACCTTTAAAGTTTCTTGCCCTGACATCAGCCTCCTCCTCAGGCGCTTCGTTTTTCGCATGGCAGAGGCGAGCGCGAAACAATTGACTGGTGATGAACCGCAAGGGACTATGGGAAGGGTATAGGCGGCAGGCGAAGCGACGTCTCGACAGTTGTCTCCTTCCCGCCTTCCTTTGCGCGCACAATTTCATCAAAAGAGAGACGTCTGGGTACGAGGAAGCCCTGACATGGAGGCATAAACTAAAGCCACCGAAAATGAGAAGCTTAAAACCCTATTTTAATCGATTTAACTCGAAACTTCACAAGACATATACGGCCTTAAATGTGAGGGAGAAGTACAGTATAATATGAATGAACCATAGCGTTTACAATTAATATTAAAGGACCTTATGGGTCAACTCGTGGATGCAAATGACATGGGATATGAAAATTTATGGCCTTCATTTTAGGGAGTTGATTGGATGTCATCCTTATAATTTTAGATTTAAAGTAGGTTATTCTTCACATCTTTTACGGAGTACGTATTTTTTGCATTAACTGCTCAAGATTTTTGTTCTGACTCCCCCTTTGAGTGTAATTAATTAATTAATTGATTCAACAGCAGTCTCATCTGAAAAGTTAATAAATACTCGAACCAAAGTAAATAATTCCATAGTGTCAGACAACTGAAAGGAATAACTAGTGTTATAATTCCAAAAGTAAGCTGTCAGGTTTAACTTTTTTGGATGACATGTTTTGCACTTTTTTTGTATCTCTAAGGCTGATTTCATCAGTCGGGCTCATTGGGGGTAACCAGGCCAATTTTGTTGCTAGTATTGTAAGCATATGCATGTCTCGTGAAAATCGCAACTGGGCCAGGGTTTTTCGAGAAAATCTTAACACCCCAGGGACGTAGTTAGGGGAGAAGCCCTGTGGTGTCCGTGCATGACCCCTCCTTTGTTACCATGTAGTCTGAGCCGAGCTCGATTAAGTAATATATCAAACATGAGATGCAGTGTTTCATCACCAGATGAAACACCGAGAAGAGAGTTGAAAATACGACGCGCAGCGGAGTATTTTTGACGAACTTCGAGATGTTTCATCTGGTGATGAAACACTGTGTCGAATGTTTGATATTTCTTCTCAAACAAAATCATTTTTGAAGGAGAAATTAAGGATGCAAATACTAAGCAGTGTTTCATCCGATTTCCAAACACTCATTAAACATTAATTTCCTTTGTATTTTCTTAATGAATTATTAATGAGTTTGAGAAGCAATAATAAAGCATTATATTTCTTTTCGGTATTTTGACCGAGGTCGTGGCTAAATCGAATCTATCAGAAGGAGGTGATCGAGGAGGAGTAGAAACGAGAGTCTTTGGCTTCGTGAGACGAGATGGCGAATTCCGCGCAACTTACGTCTTCGGACTAGCAGAATTTACGAATAAAGAACTTCAAACGGCAAGGGAAATGTATATGAGATAATTTTCAACTCCTCTGTTGCTTAAAAAATGAGGACTCTTTCGATGATAAGAGCATAAGGGAGCAAACACCTCAGAATTGCTAACATGGAATCCTTCAGAAGTAGGTGTTTATTTTTAATTTGTAAATGGAATCACTCAGAAGGAGTTTGGCATCCCTCAGAAGGAGGTACACTGTACACTGCGCGCGCTCACACCCCCCACAGGTCCATTTTTTTGTTCACCAACGACTGATTTGAAACAAAGTGAATTGCTAATATTTTTCAATTCTTATTCGTTAAGTGTTTAGTAAACTTGAATCACAAAACGTGTTTCAGCCTTCGTCTTAAGGTAAAAAAAGGGATTTGGTATGCCTACAAGGCAGTTACCCCTTGCTATCTAAAAATTTCTTTAAAGTCTGTTTTGGAGGATTCGTAGTGCGGATTGAGCAAATGTTTTCTTGCCGCTTTTCTTTTACTGGGAGGTCATGCGGTCTTTTACTGTTCAGTCGCTACTTGTGGTTTCTTATCTTTGCTACATTATCCATCAGGCTAGCTAAAGGTGTTAGTTTTTCCTTTCTTTTTTTAAACGTGGCTTAATAGCCTTTCGGGTTTTAAAGTTTTTTTTTCATCGACTAGAGCTTATATGTTTATGTTTAGATATAAGGTAGTTCAAGTGTCGGAAAGTGTCCCATCACACTTAAAGTCCCTTACTGGACCTGCTTTTAGAAAGCAATATAAAACATTTCTTCTTTAGAATCAGTAATAGTAGATGTCACAGTACGCCCTCTGTTTATTGTGCGCGGACGCGTAAATGAGCGCCTCGGTTAAGCTGTGCTTCAGTTGGTATAATATTTACTGTAGATTAAGCTAAAAATGTGCCCGTTAATCTTAACGAATATAAATATTGGTTTTTTCTGATTATATTCAAATATCACAGTGGCCAACTCGAAAGCCTCGGCTCCTTTGGCCACTGTACACGTTCTCTCTACATTTTCCATTTATTAATTGAACATTTCATTTCTGTAAGAAAATTATATATTCTGTATGTGTAAGATTAATTCATCTGAACAGTGTAAATAAATTTGAAAGTTGAAGTTGAAGAGCGAGGTTTGTTAGTGACAGGCGTCCTTCCCCTAATCGATTTGACATTTACAGTTTATACCTTTCATGTCGTTCTCGACTATCTTGGCTGGATTTCATGCCGATTATCTATTCTACACATTTAAAGTTACGGTTTTGTAACCGAGTTCGATTAAGCCACGCAAAGCAATTTCTCCCTGGTTCCAAAACAGTTCTAGCCCTAGGTATGTTGTGATCAGTTTTTCTGCAGTGGTTCCGGTAGATTTCAATGTTCCTTACTGCCCAGGGCGTTATAGTCCATTTTAAACAACAATTCTACAAGCTGGGTCTACTGTGACCTTTAAAACTGTGGGTATGTTACGATCAGTTTTCCTGCAGTGGTTCCGGCGCTCCTTGTTTAGATACCAACTCTAGTGAGCAATGTCACAGTTCATTTCCGATATATTTTTTACAAGCTGATATGCTTTGACATTTGTAAGCCTGGGAATCCTGTGATTCAGTTTTTCTGCGGTTGTCCCCCGCCCGGTGCTCCTTGTTTTGACACCACTCTGGTACGTTTTAGCCGCCGCCAGTGTCCTGTGTCATAATTCATTTCAAATAACATTTCTACAAGCTGGGTCTGCTGTGATCCATCCGATGCTGTGACGTTCTCGGTGTTTTCACTCAGCTTAATAGTAATAATGGGTCCTTGATGCGCGTACGGTTTTTCTGTAAGGAGTAAACAAAAGTAGAGAGCTTTAGATTTGAGGACAAGGAGGAAACGAGTACGAGATTTAACTTAAAGTTTTTTCCCGTTCTCGAAAAATATTCAACCCGGAGAGCTTCATTCTACTATTTTTCACCTGAAAAATTAGCGCGATTATCTTTATTGCAGAAGCTTTAGCCCTTTCCCGGTCGCAAAATTATTAAACTTCTCAAATTTGGTAACTTGTTACCGCCACTACGACATTCTTGTAGTAGAATGACGACGGCTAACACGTTTTTGCGCCGAAATGACGTTGAAATTCTCGTACTTGTAGTCGTCCTCGTCTTAGAATCTAAAGCTCTTTAGTATTAAGTTATTGAAACCCCCCAAAAATATCACATAACCAGCCAAAGAGGTTAAAGCAACCACTGTGATAGTCTGTTCCAGGCGTTAAGATTGTGGGGGCGGCCCAAAAAGATGTGAGCAGTAAAAACAGCGAGGGAGGTGGGGTAGGAGGTGAGAGTGAGGGTTCCCTCCTATATATTTCTCTCTCCCTCCTTTTTTTTTCTTTCGTCACTGACTTCGCGCCGTACTCCATTATCTGAACGCCTGCATGAAGGTACCACTGCGAAAACGAAAAAGCAAGAAAGAAGAAAAAGGTAAAATGTTTTTGTGCAGTGCAATTTTACACTTCGTATATATCTCTGCTGTTCACCACACAACACCAAAGATGTACACACTGATAACGTACCTCTTGCACCAGCCATGAATCCCAAAATAAGAGCCTTTTCTGCTCGACTCACACGGTTTGCATTCTTAAACATTTCATGAGCAGCCAACATTTGGTCTCTCTGAAAAAGAACGGAAAATGAGAAACATTTTCTCTGTCTACTCACACAAACAAACCTGGTTTGCATTGATTTTGCTACAATTTGCTACGGTGAGTCATTTGCTACGGGGATTCATGAGTCCCAAGCCACAATCAGTGAATCCTAATCCAAAAATCAATCAAGATCATCTTCAGGTCGCTCAAACAATATTTGCGTCCTACATGACGCGTGAGTTGTATTATTATTTTGGGGATTTTAATGCGTCAGGGACGCCGCAAGGGTACTGTAACAAAATCATTTTGTTGGTTAGTGAGAATGGAGAAGAAACGCTATGAGATGAGACAAAGTTATACGACATTTTTATCCTTCGACGAATCTAGGTTAATTATTGACTTTGATTGTGACTGCTATCATGTCCACATCCCCACGCGCTTACTTAGTTTGTTTAGCTGAACGCAAGCGATTTCGCTGCCGTTCTGTTGCTACCCTCCCTCCCTCCCATGAGGAGCAAGAACTCCATTTGGTAATTAAATTTTGGTTTGAAGCCCAAACGTGTCTCGATTGTGACATTCGTTAATTCAGTCTAAAAATCAGTCAAGTAATAATTCTAAAGTTTGAGCGTAAGATCAAACTTTTCGACAGAACTTTTACATAGCAGAATTTATTTCTTAGAATTTTATAAAAAGAGATTTGATTTTAAGGGGTAACATATCCTTTGGCCATTCTTAGTGAGTGTACTCACAGTGAGGGTAAGCTGTCGTTTACTCCCCTGTTGCTGTTGACTGTTGCCAGGGACACCAGGAGAGGCTGCAGATGGTGTTCTTGTAGAATCTGCAGCGGAAGGTGTTGTTGACGTCGAGGAGGTAGCTGCTAATGCTGCAGCTGCAGCCTGTTTCTGTTGTTTTTCTCTCATCATCAACTGTCGCTGATGTTCCACATGCATCTAATAATAATGATGATAATAATATTAATACTAACGATGACGGTAGCAATGACGACGACGACGACGATGATGATGATGATGATGATGATGATGATGATGATGATGATGATGATGATGATGATGATGATGATGATGATGATGATGACGACAATGATAACAAGAGAGAAATTATTATGATGACAATGATGAGGATAAGTATAATAATCAAGCACAAGTGTTTGGGTGTATGGGATAAAAAAGCTTTAGTAGCAAAGAGAGACCACCTTTGACATCAACATACATATTTCAATTTTAAAAATTGTTTCATCAAACATGACACGCACAATCCTTGGAGACCAAGGGGGCAAATATTACGGATGGGATATTTTCACGGTTTAGGCACGGTTTAGGCACAAATATTCAACGCTGGGCACTTTTTTGAAAATCTTTGTAACCCGACTTGCAAAAAAGAACAAACTTGGTACGAATAACACAAATAATTCAGATCAAACACGATACAGTTAGAAGCATAGGAAGTGTAAGTTTTGAGCCGCGCCGAAAGTCTGAAAAATTAAAGTATTCTTCGACAGTCCGTCTTTACTCCGAGGATAAAGAGGAAATTCACACGTGATTTATGCGGTCTGAACCTGTTCAATTGCCATGCAATTTCATAGACTCGCTTTCTTTCGTTTCTCAAAGAAATCGTGAAATAAATTCGAAGCCATAATAACAAAAACAAAGCTAAAGAAGTAAGGCACAAAAATAGCCAATAAAAGTCGTAGAAAATACTTTTTGCGATCGCGGTAAAATTGGCCTGAATTTGCATAACAACACGAAAAGTACAAAGTGGTAATTTGAAACCTTCATGCCAACGCGAGTTGTTTTTTAAATACAAAATGCGGCTGCTTTTTAAAAATATTTCTCTAGCTAAAAAAGTAGGATTACACTTAGTAGTAGAATAATTCAAGCTGCTTGTTTGTTTTTGTTTTCTGGCTCTGTTAGCAAATTAAGCTTTGATCGTATAATAATTGATGAGACGTGCTATTTATTTTGCTTCAAAACTCATCGGCGTGCAATCAATTTTTTCGCTTTCATTTTATAAGTCATATCACAAATCTGCCCTCCTGAAAAAAACGAATGTTTCGTTCCAACTAAACGCTCCGTTAAGAAGGGGAGAAGTAGCCTCCCCGCAGACGTCCTTTGCATTTATAATTCTGTTTACTAGATTATTGTGTGATAACTCGAATTCCCTCACGTACGAACCACGAAAGGGCGCAAAGTCCAACACTTTCACGTGCCAGCTGTGTGACTATACATCTCATGCAGATTGGCTTTTCACAATAATAATAGTAACTTGGACGTATGAAGACCTGTTTCGTTTAGTAACCAATGCCCTTAAAAAGGCTCTTGTCTTTTAAGAAGCAATAGCTTTTAAAACATGAAGAAATGAGTTGTCGGAGTTAAAGACTGTCACACAAATGTTAATAAATGTTAGGTTATGAACCTTGACGTTGCATAAAATATAAATTAATTGCAGACGTTGTAATGAAGCCGAGGTGATTTCTTAATAACTCGAATTCCCTCATGTACGAACCACGAAAGGGAGCAAAGTCCAACACTTTCACGTGCCAGTTGTATGACTGTACATCTCATGCAGTCGATGCAGATTGGCTTTTCACAATGATAAATGGTAACTTGGACGTATGAAGACCTGTTTCGTTTTGTAACCAATGCCCTTAAAAAAGGCTCTTGTCTTTTAAGAAGCAAAAGCTTTTAAAGCATGAAGAAATAAGTTGTCGGAGTAAAAGACTGTTTCACTGAGTAGAATCGCACGTGAAAACCTCGTGAATTATGATGATGCAACCATCTACCTCAATGATAAAAATCCTGGTATTTTGTAACTATTCAGTATTCGATGAGTCACATTTTGGCTTAAGAAACTCCGAGGAAACCTTAGAGTTTTCCTTCTAATCAACGTTAGGTGAGTAGAAATTTATTTTACTTTAACAATTTGTTTAACTTGCACCAGATGTAATAGGGAAAGACAGAGGAAAGTGAATATATAGGTTGAGGATCGACTCAGCTGAGAATTCTGAATTCTTATTCGTTAAGTGTTTAGTAAACTTGAATCACAAAACGTGTTTCAGCCTTCGTCTAAAGGTAAAAAAAAGGGATTTGGTATGCCTACAAGGCAGTTACCCCTTGCTATCTAAAAATTTTTTTAAAGTCTGTTTTGGAGGATTCGTAGTGCGGATTGAGCAAATGTTTTCTTGCCGCTTTTCTTTTACTGGGAGGTCATGCGGTCTTTTACTGTTCAGTCGCTACTTGTGGTTTCTTATCTTTGCTCCATTATCCATCAGGCTAGCTAAAGGTGTTAGTTTTTCCTTTCTTTTTTTAAACGTGGCTTAATAGCCTTTCGGGTTTTAAAGTTTTTTTTTCATCGACTAGAGCTTATATGTTTATGTTTAGATATAAGGTAGTTCAAGTGTCGGAAAGTGTCCCATCACACTTAAAGTCCCTTACTGAACCTGCTTTTAGAAAGCAATATAAAACATTTCTTCTTTAGAATCAGTAATAGTAGATGTCACAGTACGCCCTCTGTTTATTGTGCGCGGACGCGTAAATGAGCGCCTAGGTTAAGCTGTGCTTCAGTTGGTATAATATTTACTGTAGATTAAGCTAAAAATGTGCCCGTTAATCTTAACGAATATAAATCTTGGTTTTTTCTGATTATATTCTAATATGACAGCGGCCAACTCGAAAGCCTCGGCTTCTTTGGCCACTGTACACGTTCTCTCTAGATTTTCCATTTATTAATTGAACATTTCATTTCTGTAAGAAAATTATATATTCTGTATGTGTAAGATTAATTCATCTGAACAGTGCAAATAAATTTGAAAGTTGAAGTTGAAGAGCGAGGTCTCTTAGTGACAGGCGTCCTTCCCCTAATGGATTTGATATTTACAGTTTATACCTTTCATGTCGTTCTCGACTATCTTGGCTGGATTTCATGCCGATTATCTACTCTACACATTTAAAGTTACGGTTTTGTAACCGAGTTCGATTAAGCCACGCAAAGCAATTTCTCCCTGGTTCCAAAACAGTTCTAGCCCTAGGTATGTTGTGATCAGTTTTTCTGCAGTGGTTCCGGTAGATTTCAATGTTCCTTACTGCCCAGGGCGTTATAGTCCATTTTAAACAACAATTCTACAAGCTGGGTCTACTGTGACCTTTAAAACTGTGGGTATGTTACGATCAGTTTTCCTGCAGTGGTTCCGGCGCTCCTTGTTTAGATACCAACTCTAGTGAGCAATGTCACAGTTCATTTCCGATATATTTTTTACAAGCTGCGTATGCTTTGACATTTGTAAGCCTGGGTATCCTGTGATTCAGTTTTTCTGCGATGGTCCCCCACCCGGTGCTCCTTGTTTTGACACCACCCTGGTGCGTTTTAGCCGCCGCCAGTGTCCTGTGTCATAGTTCATTTCAAATAACATTTCTACAAGCTGGGTCTGCTGTGATCCATCCGATGCTGTGACGTTCTCGGTGTTTTCACTCAGCTTAATAGTAATAATGGGTCCTTGATGCGCGTACGGTTTTTCTGTAAGGAGTAAACAAAAGTAGAGAGCTTTAGATTTGAGGACAACGAGGAAACGAGTACGAGATTTAACTTAAAGTTTTTTCACGTTCTCGAAAAATATTCAACCCGGAGAGCTTCATTCTACTATTTTTCACCTGAAAAATTAGCGGGATTATTTTTATTGCAGAAGCTTTAGCCCTTTCCGGGTCGCAAAATGATTAAACTTCTCAAATTTGATAACTTGTTACCGCCACTACGACATTCTTGTAGTTGAATGACGACGGCTAACACGTTTTTGCGCCGAAATGACGTTGAAATTCTCGTACTTGTAGTCGTTCTCGTCTCAGAATCTAAAGCTCTCTAGTATTAAGTTACTGAAACCCCCCAAAAATATCACATAACCAGCCAAAGAGGTTAAAGCAACCACTGTAATAACCTGTTCCAAAAAACAGCGAGGGAGGTGGGGTAGGGGGTGAGAGGGAAGGTTCCCTCCTATATATTTCTCCCTCCCTCCTTTTTTTTTCTTCGCTCTCTGACTTCGTGCCGTACTCCATTATCTGAACGCCTGCATGAAGGTACCACTGCGAAAACGAAAAAGCAAGAAAGAAGAAAAACGCAAAATGTTTTTGTGCAGTGCAATTTTACACTTCGTATATATCTCTGCTGTTCACCACACAACACCAAAGATGTACACACTGATAACGTACCTCGTGCACCAGCCATGAATCCCAAAATAAGAGCCTTTTCTGCTCGACTCACACGGTTTGCATTCTTAAACATTTCATGAGCAGCCAACATTTGGTCTCTCTGAAAAAGAAAGGAAAATGAAGAAAACGCTTTTCCCTGTCCACTCACACAAACAAACCTGGTTTGCAGTGATTTTGTTACAATTTGCTGCGGTGAGTCCCGGGATTCATGAGTCCCAAACCAGAATCAGTGAATCCTAATCCAAAAATCAATCAAGATCATCTTCAGGTCGCTCAAACAATATTTGCGTCCTACAGGACGCGTAAGTTGAATTATTTGGGGGATTTTAATGCGTTAGGGACGCCGCAGGGGTACTGTAACAAAATCATTTTGTTTGTTAGTGAGAACGGAGAAGAAACACTGTGAGATGAGACAAAGTTATATGACGTTTTTATCCTTCGATGCAACCATTCAAACGAATCTAGGTTCATTATTGGCTTTGATTATGACGGCTATCATGTTCACATCCCCACGCGCTTACTTAGTCTGTTTAGCCAAACGCAAGCGATTTCGCTGCCGTTCTGTTGTTATCCTCAATCCCTCCCATGAGGAGCAAGAACTCTATTTGGTAATTAAATCTTGGTTTGAAGCCCAAACGTGCCTCGATTGTGACATTCGTTAATTCGGTCTAAAAATCAGTCAAGTAATAATTCAAAAGTTTGAGCGTAAGATCAAACTTTTTGAGAGATTTGATTTTTAGGGGTAACATTATCTTTAGCCATTGTTAGTGAAAGGCTTAAGGAAAGTATACTCACAGTAAGGGTAAGCTGTCGTTTGCTCCCCTGTTGCTGTTGACTGTTGCCAGGGACACCAGGAGAAGCTGCAGATGGTGTTCTTGTAGAATCTGCAGCGGATGGTGTTGTTGAAGTCGAGGAGGTAGCTGCTAATGCTGCAGCTGCAGCCTGTTTCTGTTGTTTTTCTCTCATCATCAACTGTCGCTGATGTTCCACATGCATCTAATAATAATGATGATAATAATATTAATACCAACGATGACGGTAGCAATGACGACGACGACGATGATGATGATAATGATGATGATGATGATGATGATGATGATGATGATGATGATGATGATGATGATGACGGCAATGACGACAATGATAACAAGAGAGAAATTATTATGATGACAATGATGAGGATAAGTATAATAATCAAGCACAAGTGTTTGGGTGTATGGGATAACAAAGCTTTAGTAGCAAAGAGAGACCACCTTTGACATCAACATACATATTTCAATTTTAAAAATTGTTTCATCAAACATGACACGCACAATCCTTGGAGACCAAGGGGGCAAATATTACGGATGGGATATTTATAAAGAGCAAGTAACATTGTAGTTACAAAGTATACAAGATGAATTAATGGTGAGCCTAAAAACCACTTACTCGTAACCAAACCAGCTTCAGAACTTAGCTTTTGAACTATTTGATCTAATACATTTGCTGGTCTTTCACAAAAATTAATAGGAATTGAAATGCTTCTGCAATTAACTGCCCCTGAGTCTTGAAGGATACAAAAACACTACCCTCACCCCCTATTTTCAACTTTCACTCAACGGTATAATTTATTTAATACCCACATGAAGCCATATCATTACATTATTTTGGATTTTCTCCGAGCAAAAATGACTACGATTTTTCTCAATGCTATTTGAGAGTACTCCAAAAGTTACTGAATTTCAGCACATGGCTATTACGGCAGAAAAACCTTGAAAAACTGGCTTGTCACTGGTTTTTTGCCAGTTTGCTCTGTGCTTTTGGGAATTAATTTACATAAAAACCTTTGAGATCCCTAGCAGTTTTCTCTGGGATTGTGTTGAAATATCCAATCCATACTCCCCCACTCATGATGGGGTTATAAGGTTGAACCCACCCTCCCCCCCTCTGAAAACTCCAGTTTAGTTTCATACTTTCTTTCTCATTTTTTTTTTTGTATTTAACACCCCCTCCCCTCAGAATTTCCACAGATCCTTGAAGGGGTCAATACATAGATAGATAGATAGCCTTTATTTTAAAACGATGAGTATTAAAGCTACATGAGCTTGTGGGGTCGTTTGCAATTAACTAATTACAAGTAAACTAAAAAAACTAAAAACTACGGGTATATACAGACAAAACGTATGAACTAAATTAACGCTTACAAATATGAAATTATGAGCATAAATTTAAGTATATACAAAGTCATCTTTTCTAAAATTGCAAGCGGATGCAGACGTTATCTTAAAGCTGAATTCATTAAAATTAGCTTGAGATTTAAGCTTTAGCCTGAGATCACGATAAGGAATGTTTTTTTGTCAGGGCACTACAGTTGTTGGTCACTGCATTCCACAGGACTGAGCCTCTAAACGCGACAGAGTCTTTCATGTAACGCGTGTTGAAGCGTGGAACAATTAAAGAAGCGCAAGTCCGGGTTGAATAGTTTGTGGCCCGTTTCTTAGAAATCAGGTCGATTAATGTGACAGGTAACCTATCATGGAAAGCTTTATGAAGACAGATAAAAATGGCTAATTTATAATAAATAGACAGAGTCGGCCATTGGGCCCGTTGTAGGACATCAGCAGATGCCATGTCTTTCGGCAAATGAAAGATAAGTCTCGCAGCCCTGCAGTGAAGTCTTTCCAGGGACTGAAATAAGTCGGAATTGCAGCAAGATCCCCATAGTATAAGACCATAGGTCACTGAAGGCAAGATGACCTTAAAATAGAGGTCCTGACGAACGTTTCTAGGGAGAAATCTCGACTTCTTAAGTAATCCTAGTTTTTTAGCAAATGATTTTTTGAGTTCCAGCATATGTTGAGTCCAGGTCAGTTTCTCATCGACGGTCATTCCCAGTAACCGTGATTTCGATACCCATTCAATCGTAGAATTTCCGATAAAGATCGGGGGAATGTTAACCGAGGAATTTCTTCTAGAGATTAGCATGGCCTCACTTTTACTTGGGTGGGGTGTTAATCTGTTTATGAGGCACCACTCGTTTAATTCACGAAGTGCAGAATTTAACTTGGCAATACTTTTTTCTGCCGTGTCACTTATGCAGTAAACCGTTGTGTCGTCGGCAAACATATAGACGGATCGGGAAGATAATGAGGACGGAAGATCGTTCGTGAAGAGAGTGAAAAGTGTCGGCCCCAAGACAGACCCTTGAGGAATTCCAAAAGAGATCGGTATCATCTCTGAAGTTGATCCATTAACAGCTGTGTATTGCTGTCTTTCCTTCAAGTAACTTTTAAGCCAATCCAGGACAGGTCAATAGGACTTTTAAGCCAATCCAGGATAGGTCAATAGGACTTTTTGCCAGAGCCACATTGTTAATTTTCCTTGATGGAAAAATTATGTGGTAATTTAATAGCAAAAAATAAAAAATAAAATAAATAAAAATGGAAGAGAAAGGAGAGATGTCTTACTTCTAACTCTCTCTTGAGGTTAATAGTACTTTCACTGAGTGTGTCTGATGGTGGAGACAGTGATGTGCTTGATGCTGCCTGCTGCGGCACATAGGATGGTGTTGATGATGGTGGGGCCATGCTTGCTGATGGTACCTCTGGACTTGAAGGTGTCTTTTAGTTACAGAGACAAAAGAATCAACAATGTTAACTACCCAACAAGTCTTTTTTAAGGAATAAAAAATAAGCAACATGGAAGTTGGTGTGGATTATCATTCATGACGAACTTTTGAAGCAGGATTTGTCAAGGTAAAAACGTCTTTAATAATATAACCATCTATCAGTTTTTAAACAAGCTTGTTCCTTCATATTCTAAAATGTCAGCCATCCAAGCCCCCTAACCCATGGGGGTGCAGGAGAGTCTCTCTCCCCCACCCCCTTCCCTCACTCCACAGGTTAAGGGGCTCCATGCTTCTTGTCAAAAATTGAAAAGAAAAGCTGATGTGACTTGTAGTTGGTCTCAATACCACTATACACAGGCTAAAGTAACTATTATATAACTAAAAATTAAAATGTTATACCTTTGATGGTTGAGTGACAGGTGTCAGCCCTGCCGCATAATTGGGTGTGCTTGGTTCGGGTGGCTTTGTGTTGTCTAGTTTTTTATGCTTAGCCTCTTCTGCATGTTCAGAGTCTGAAATGTTCCAAAAATTAATTGTTATCAGTTTGAAATAGATCTTACAAAGAAGTGAGAAAAAAAAAACATATGTACTTGAGACTATATTTAATAAGAAAATACAATGAAAAAAAAACGTACATTCATCAGGTAAAAATTTCACACAAAGTTCAAAATAATTGTCTTATTTAAGCTGGGGGATGAAGGGTAAGAGTTTTATTCAAACCAAATTGCCCAGTTTCCTAAGAGAGTACACATTTATTTTGGGATAGTATCATTATTATGAAGTGGCTTAGGGAGAATAGTCAGTAGAACTGATGAGAACATACAGCAACCAGATGAAACATCTAACAACATCATTTTTTGTTATTTAGTCATTTAACATTAATTTTTAGTGATCCAATAAATAATAAAGTGTCATGTTACTTCATTAGTTTGACAGGCCACCATTAAAGCCAGCGCCATTGCCATACATGCATCATGGGGCGCTTTCCATTTAGTCAAAATTTCTGGAATTTCTGGTTCAGCAGTAAATGGGACACGTTTCGTCGGTTTGTCCCACTGGAAAATTCCCAGAAAAAGTGGAAAATCTAAAAAGGTGGGCCCGTTTTCCCGGTTGGAATTTCCGAATCGAATGTCGTGTTCCATTTATGTTTCTCGTAGTTTGTACCAGTTCCAGGTCCACGGTCGGGCACCGTTACGTACCGGGGTTTACGACCAAATGGAACAACTTTTTACCAATCGGAAATTCCACTTTTGCTACCACCGAAATTTCCGGGTTTTTTTCCTAAATGGAAAGCGCCCATGAATTTGGATAATTAAAGAGAACCTTTTGCTTAAATATTTCAGCTGATACCCATTAACTCACAACTTATTTTTGACCAGATGGCTTCTTCTCACCTGCTAATTTCTTTCTTCTCTTAAGTTCTCGTCCACCTCCAATTGGCTGCTCAGTTATGTCTAAAAGCTGGGGAAAGTTCACATGAAAAAAAAATCTCCAGTGAGGTAAGAAACAATAATTCTCAGCAATAAAAACAAAACAAAGCAAAAAAAAAAGTTATGTCTAAAAGCTAGGGAAAGTTCATGCGACAAAAAGAAAAAAATTCAGCAATATTAAAGAAACAAAACAAACCAAAACAAAGCGAAAAACAAACAAACAAACAAACAAACCACTACAACAAAACAAAACAAAAACAAAAAATTTATGGATGGATTTTTATGCACTCAGGTATTATAGAGAGCATCTAATGAAATTTGTGTTTTATGCCTACAGGAGAATCATCATCTGGCAGATTACAACACAGCTGGTTTTGTTGACTCATAAATAAATATTATTATTAATAAAGTTGGATATATAGTCATAACTTGGATAGTCGTTTCTCCTATGGCTTCTGACATTGCTACAATACTCTTTGAATGATTGGATTAAGATGATGTGTTAAACTCATCACTGCAAATTGTATGCAGTCTTTTTTTTTCTGAAGTGGAAATGACATGGGGATTTAAAACAAATGTGAAGTGGTCAGCTTGTTTGAGTACATTGTAGTAACACATAAGTACTTCACTATTTTATTCTGAGAAATCAGCGCTTTTTATCAGCCACTGCCTGGTTTCAAACTGAGGGGGCTGGGTACTAGTCCGAGTATTTTGGGATTATTAACATAAGACCAACAAAGTCAAAAAGAGAACATAGAGTTTTATATATGTGTATAATAATATTAATCAGTTTTGGTGTTAATTGGGCCAATATTGAACAACACATACATGTAGCTATTAAACAATTGACAATTTACTAACAGTTGTATTATTTTCTGGACATACAAATGTTTCTCAGCAAATTTTGGAGATCTACATGTACCTCATAAACACCAACTTGAGGATCTTGTAAATCTCTGTTCCCTCTTCTAACTATGTGGGTTTCCTGTCATTTATCCCATAATACACTGACCCATACCCGGAAGCACTTGGTTTAAAATTAAGCATTATATTGTTACATAATCAAAGCACTAATCACAGATGATAATACCTTAGTTCGTCCATGGTGTTTAAGTGTTGCAGCAGAGATAATACTCCTTGATGAACTGCTCGATGAAGTAGCTCTATTTGCCAGCACAGGACGATAACTTGCGGGGTTAGATGTTCTCGGAGTAACCCTTACTATGAAATTAGAAGGATCCATTAGACAAAGAAAAGTTAGATCTCAGGCAAGAAAAAAATTAATGACCAAAACAAGTGACAGAAAACTATAATAATTGGAACACAGTGTTTAAGTACTGTCTTGCATTGGAGAAACTATGATTCAAAGAATTAAATGACTGTAAAGGCAGCACATAGTTGTTACTTAACTCTTAAGTTGCCAGATAAATACATGTACAAGATGTACAGTGTGGTCACTGGGGATCAAACAGCGAGAGATTTCTGTTGGTTCTATTTTCTGCTATTTTCCCATGAAAGTAGCAAGGGTTCAATTTCCTTGTAGCCAGGGAAAATCCCCGGCCCAAGACACTAATGAAAGTCCCGAGATATTGAAAAAGGGTACTAGGTATTAAACTGAAAAAAATAATCAAGTACCCTTTTTTCCATTCAAGTATGTGGACAACAATAAAGTAACTGAGCCCTTAAGACAAAGTTCGCTTTGTTCATTTTATTTACAAGTCTACTGGTAAGGTAACTGTAAAGGTTTGAGTCTCCTGCACAAGTGGTAAAGCAAAAGATCCAAACATGCCTCTTCATGCAAATGTGATCCTCCACAGGATTTTAGCCACTTTGGTGATGACACGCGCACACATGTCCACACGGTAAGACAAAAGAAGCAGGAGTTAACACGGAACGACCGTGTTAGGATTTTGCTTATTAAAAATCTCCTTTGTTTTAGACAACATGGCAGAGCTGATTCCATGTTTAAATCCTTTAAAGCGTGGATTGCAATAATGACAATTATCAATACATTCTTCCTACAATGGCATTGCATGTTGAGGCACAGTGTATATATAGCAGTTAAAGAAAAGTTTGGAGGATATTGTTTGGAATTTTAAAAAAAAGCCAATCCACTAACCAGGAGCTTCAAACTTCTTTGATGGAGACTGAAGCTTGTTTCCAGAACCAACGATTCCCTTTTTCTGAGCAGATACTGCTTCACTGGCTTCATGAAAAAACAAAACAAAAGACAAACATTACAGCAGTTCGAACAAAAAACTCGTTTGTTCACTTTCAGGATAAATGTTATTTAATAAAAAGAACATTTTTGGTTAAGGATCATTTGTGGTCTGGGGATCATTTGTGGTCTGGCGATCATTATTTTGTAGTATTGTACAGCCTCTTTAGCCATAGCTGCATAAAATAATACCAGTAATTCCAGAAAGTAGCTGTGTTTTCAGTTATTTATCAACAACCAAAAAATACCTTTTTGTGTGAGCTCTGCTCTAAGGGCAGCAGATTTGGGTTTTCTTTTGAGTGTGAAGTGTTTAGAGAGTGGGGGCTGTGGACCAACCATGGCAACAAGTGCAGACCTATTTAAATATAAGCATTCCAAGGGAAGAAAACTTGATCCGCTATCTGGAAGGTTTGCCACTACAAAAAAAAAGGAAAATAAATGAATGTATTTGTATTTTTGTATTTATTTATTTACCACACGATTACAATAATTACAAAAAAATGCCAAAAAAAAATGTAGGAAGACATGGCAACAAATACAAAAGAATATCAGGTAGATTTATGTTTGCAGTTATGATTGACCGACATGTACACGTAGGATACTAGAAGAAATTTGCAAATTAATTCTATTAAAACCAAAGTGTCCTTAATTCAAAGTCTGCTTCAAATCCTATACCCATTGACAAAAGTGTGTTCACTGTGATCAATCCCATTTTAGGTAGTTCAAATCCCATAAGCCAATGGGAAGCAAAAGCCGGTTGTCATTTTTACTTTATAAGGGGACATTCCATTTTCTATCTACTCCTTGCCCCATTAGGAAGATGACTGGAATCAAAATCCTCACCTTTGAAAAAATTGTCAGAAGGGTCCAAATTTTGTTGGCCTTGAAGAAAAAATCTGAGTCCCCTTAAGGACAGCAGAGACTGTGGGGGGTGGGGGGGGGTTAGTTGCAGATAAAAAATTGAACATCCCTAAGGCAGTCTATCAAACAACATTAAATCAGGATAAAGATTTCATTTTACAGCCCCAGCTAGTTGTACATAACATGCTGTGGTTCAATTTTATCCTCGATTCTAATTATATTTTCCTTTGTTTGTAGGTATGCTAATGTAAGATAATGAGTTTCAAACAAAGAAAAGTAAAATAAAATTGAAAAACCATATTTTGGCTTGTATTTAATTAATATGCAGCCATTCATACTATTTCACACAAATAACGAATATGGATAGAGCCCAAATATGTATAAATGCTTAAAAAATATATGGAGCTGTACGAAAATCTTATTGAACTAACTCCCTCTATTTTTCCACTGTATGATCATAAAAACTTTGACTTTGACTTTGCCTGGCTGGCTTACTTGTCTTTTTTATTTCCTGAGTCACCTCTGCAAACACGGGACTAACTTCATCGAGGTTAACGTTCAGCATTCCCGTACTGGGGTAGTATTTAAGAATCTCTGATAAAACACGGACCCATTCATCTTCGTCGTGGCTTCCAATCTCGAAAATTTCGCTCATTTCGGCGGTAGTTTCTTCGATAACACGACGAGGGAGGTGAAGAAAGGCCATCAACAGTTTAACTTTCACCTGCGTTTCCAGCCTATGAAAGCATTCTGGAATATTACGAAGTACATCGTGAGTCAGAAGCGAACGCAAACTGCTGCCAGACCAAGAATCGTCCGATGATAACTTGTTATGAAGCCACAATGCGGTATCTGCTTGTCGAACAGACGCCATATTGTTTTTCTGTGGAGCCAATCTTCTGGGGGCTATACTGAGGTGTCTGGATTAGGCACTGACTGTACGACGCTTCGCTCAGCAGGAAAAAAAATAGCAACAAAAAAATAACGAAATGATAGTTCAGTTCGGATGAACAAAAAACTGTATGTAAAGCAAAAAAATGGCCCTAAAAAAAAATTGAAATTAAGTAAAGGAGAAATTCCTAGCCCACCCCCAATGGGGGACGATACGTGTTCTCTGTGATCTTGGGGGAGCCGGGTAAGTCACTTGTCGCTTTTGGGGAGGCTGCTAAGCAGTTGGTATCACAAGTTCCGCAAAGTGACTTGCAAGAATCCAGCTAAAACAACAAAAGTAGCGCGAAGAAAATTCAACACGATATGGTTTGAATTTAAACACTTTTCCCTCTCGATTACTTTACTGGTCAGATCACGCAAACCTGGCTGACCCCTCATGTCGCTGGGGAGGCTTAAAGATCGCTTGTTGGTAAGAACGGTGCATTGTTTGACCGGCCGGTATTGCAGAACTTCTTAGCTTGTCACTTTCGTATTTGCTACTTGCTGTGCTGCTGATCTTAGCGTTAGTAGATGTCTACGAGAAATATCTTATGTATTTAAGCGCAAATAATACTAATAAGGCATTTCTCCTCTTTGGATCAAGAGCATAAGGTGTGGCGTTTTGCTGAATTTTCGTGCAGAAATCGTAGTGTCGTTTACATGTGGTAAAACTGGCAGCGAGAAGATCTATCGACGTGAAATTTTTACACCTGCCGTGTGCGTGAATGAAAAAATCGTATACTTATATCATACAGCCTGTGATGCGCTTGTCCAATATGTAAACTTGGCAGAATTTCAAAGAGGAGTAGGGTAGGCATATTTGGGTCATTTTGTTATCGAATCTTCAATGATTTAATATAGTGCCAAGTGCTCGTATGTGATGTTTACGTGTCTTTACGATGGAACGAAACATTGCGTGTGAGTTGCATGTACAAACAGGCAATATGCACTGTGACCGAGTTCGATAAAAAACCATAATGCCTTAGTTTTGGCTGTTTTGTGGTTTTAGCCCTTGACAAGAGATATCAAGCCCAACAACTTCTTGGAAGAAAGTTTAGTCATTTGAGTTGGCAAAACGTTTTCGCATGTGTATTGTTGTGGATGCATTTTATTGGCACTGTTGTAAATAGTTTTTTTCTTGTTCTGTGCAACAAATTTATCCCCAGTTAATTTGTGTTGTTATATGAGGGTAGCAATAATACAGAATGGTTTGAGACCCTCAACCAAATTGACATTAATATTTGATGTTATCAGTCGTGCACACACATGTAGTTTTACCGTGTTTGAAACCACTTTGGAAATTTCACAGTGGCCAAGTATTACAGAATTTTATGCTTATTAATTAAAAATAGATTTTAAAATGCTAGACAGTCAATCTGTCTCTGAGATTGTGAAGTTTCTTCGCATTTCTTTGGAAGACATGAAAATTTTTCCTCTTGTTAATAATTAATGTGGTTTATAGGTATTTGCACTGGTTGCAGAGAAACACAAATTTTGGTCAAGCTGATAATGGATTCCACTATTTTACATTTGCAATACATGTAACATTTTTAGAAAATTCTTGATAGGCCATGAGAGAAATTTTCAGGAAGACTTTTCAGTGGAGGAAAAAGGAAATCCTGTGCTAATCAAATTTTCTATTATAGTAATTCTTTTCTTGCTCTGAATTAAATATTCCTTTTAGCAGCACTGTGAGTTCTGATACTGTATGGCAAATCACTCCCAGTGGTTTTTTTTGGTGTGATCTCTTTTTTCTTTTGGGAAGTTTTCTTTTTGGTGCAACTAACTGACAGCACTACAGCAGTGTTCTCCTTATCAGGTGGTAACCGGTAAAATTTACTGCCTGAAGCAACACTTCTTACCGCCTGCAACCACTTGAAGGTTTACTAAAATGAAATAATTTGTTTTAAAAAATGTGCAAGTTGTGATCCAATCCGATTCTCACAAGAACATGAGTATATGGAAAAGTACTTAAGTATACACAGCTTTTCTTTTATGGGCCACGCATTTTGGGAAGAGAATGTTGAAGACAGAGTAAAATTATTGGAGTTGAACGTTTTAAATAAGAATGAGGAAATGATGTTTCAGAGAACTTAGCTCCTAAATTTCCATTCAATGTCCCTCACTCCACTACCCCCTCCACCCCCCAGGGGTACACATTTTTTGCCTTACTGGCCATGAATGGTCCCTTACCTGCTGAGCTAAAATTTAGGGAGAACACTGCTAAAGTGGCAAATGTTAGTTTCAAAAATTTGTGCAAATAGAGGATTATAACTCCATTGTTATTCAAATCGACACTGAATTTCCTGCTCCGTTGATTTTGCTTAACAAAGAACTTACTAGGTTTCTTTGTCTCAGATTCTAACAAAAATGCAAGGATGCCAACGCATTTTTTGCATAATAATTGCATTCATATAGACTTGGGAGCTTATGAAGCATTAACCATAATAAAAAATGATATTGTTGTTAATATTATTATTAATATTATTTTTTTAATGCAGCATTTCTGTTTATTTATAGGGTCTCTTGCCAGGAAGAAGACATTATGAAGATGAGTGGCGCACTGTTTATGTTTTAAACAGATACCCCAGTGATGAACATGCTGATATTGAACAGAAGCAAAGAAGATATGCTAATAATGTTATTGTTACCTCAAAGGTTAGGTGCTTTCATAATTTTTTTGATCATTCATTGATTCTTTGGGGTTAATAAATATCCTTATTCTTTTTCAGTTACAAGAATAAGATTTCTTTGGTCTATGTCCGTATTAGCAAACAAAATAATCTCATGCTTTTTGTTTTTCAAGCCAAAAAGAATAAATAGAATTATTATAAATAAATATTCCGAAAGGTCTTGATAGCACAAATGCAGCAGTAATTTTAAAAACACAATGACACTTCTAAGTTTGTGGAACATGCTTCGATGTTTCAAACATCTGACATCTTTAGCCATACAAGGTATAATACTAATAGCGTACAAGTAAAGTAAGTAAGTTTAGTTTTCCTCCATATTAGTGGCTAGCTTTAATATATGTATCAAATTGTGAATTTCTAAGCAATCATTGTTTGGATAGTTATATTATACCAATCAACTTGTACGCTATTAGTATTATACCTTGCATGGCTGAAGATGATGTTTGAAACATCGAAACATGTTCCACAAACTTAAAAGTGTCATTGTGTTTTGTAAAATTATAAATTAATATAAATTAATCTTTATTAAAACAATAATCATTGAGTCTGGGTGCACTGTAAATGAATTGTACAATAAAAAATATAATGTCCCTCATGTGAGCTTGCATTTATAGTGCGACCGAGAAAACCAAGAGCACTTGAAATATTTTAGGAATGTTTATTGTGTATGACAAACCACAGCAGAGATCAGGACATGTGAACTAGCCACAAAGCCACAAACTAATTTATTAAGGTTTTTCTTGCAGTTCAGTTTTTTTCATGCGTGATTGGCTTTTTTCTTGCAACACAATAACATTCCAGAAATATTTCTGGTGTTTACAGTTTTCCCAGTTTGACAGCAATATTTCAACATAATAAATAAATACATCATGAAAATCTGAATATTGAATTCTGGTGTTCATGGTTTTCCCAGTTTAACAGTAATATTTCAAGATAATAAATGAATAATTATGTCATGAAAATCTGAATATTGAATTCTTTGTATTTTTACAAGTACATTAGGGCCCATCTGCACTAGTGAAAAAAGCTGTTAGAGAAATTTCTGTCATCACCAATGCTTAGCAAATGCGGATGGTTTGTCGAGATTATACAAATTTTGTCCTAGACAGGAAATCTTAAAAGGTGCCGTGGACAAAATTTGCTCCCAGTAAAAGCTGGACAAAATCGACTAAATAAACAAAAATGTGTTTTTCTTGTCATTCATTTGTTGTAAAGCTGGTATTCTTTCCATTAACAAATGCAAGTGTTGTCAGATGTAATGGCCTGATAAGAGTAAATAGTTTCCAGTGTGGATAAATTTTTTCAAAACACCATACAATTTTTGGTTTAGATGTTTCAAAGACAATTCCGATTTTGTCTGCTAGTGCGGAAAGGCCCTTATGGTGTTTTGATTAATGCAATTATTGGATGGTATGTTTTTGTTTGCAGTACACAATATGGAATTTTATACCAAAGAATCTGTTTGAGCAGTTTCGTCGAATTGCCAATTTTTATTTCCTTTGCATTGGTATCATACAGGTGGGAAACACAATCCGTAATAAAAGCATTCTGATTAAGCAACTGTCTATGTAACAGGTGAAATTTGATTTCAGGTTAAATTTTTTAACGTAGGTTGATTCTCAATTCCCTTTGTTTCCTAGCCCTAATTCATGAATAATCAGGGCTAGGAGACAAAGTAAATTGAGAATCAACCTACAGTACCATTCAAAAGTATGTTGACAGTCTGTCGCGAGTCTTGATTCTCAACTCGATTCGTGATTCTTGATTCCTGCGCAAATCAAGAATCGAGGATTGAGTTTCTCAAGCCAAAAAACAAAAGATTCAAAATGATTAAAAAAATTTCACGTGAAATCAAATTTGACCTGTAAAATCAACAGTTAGATTGCAACTATCTACCTACCTACATGTACCTACCTACCTATCTACCCACCTATCTTCTTAGCCCCTTACATGTACCTACCTACCTACCTTCCTACCTTCCTACATGTACCTACCTACCTACCTACCTACCTACCTACCTACCTACCTGACCTACCTTCCTACCTTTCTACTTCCCTACATGTACCTACCTAAATACCTTCCCACCTCCTTATATGTAGCTACAGTACCTACCTACCTACCTTCCTACCTTCCTACATGTACCTACTTCCCTACATGTACCTACCTACATACCTTCCTACCTCCCTACATGTACCTACTTCCTTACATGTACCTACAATACCTACCTACCTTCCTACATGTACCTACTTCCCTACATGTACCTACTTACCTACCTGCCTTCCTACCTTCCCACATGTACCTACCTACCTACCTTCCTACATGTACCTA